AAAGAGAGAGAGAGAGAGAGAGAGAATTCTAACTATAATCACGTACAATTGCTTACAGGATATTCTTTCCTCCATGTTGTTTTCATTATATTAATAATGTAGACATGAGGTGACCTCGTCGCCTGAGAAGTGGGTGATATGGGTTGGGTGTAAACGGGGCTGCCTAGTGTTACATATGTTCATGTATTTACATAATATTAAGATGTGTGCTGTACAGTATATTCATTTTGTATCAGTCAAAGTTGCAAGAGCAGTTTTTTTTTATGAATCAAGTATGAACAAAATATGTATGTACCTCTCTCTCCGGGCAGACACAGGGTGTGGTCGTGAAACTAGGAATGTGACTATAATATTATTTCATCCATTGTGTATTCTATGTTTTAGTATTAATTTGTTCACCGGTATTAAGGGTGAATGTTAGGTGATACTTTTGTGAACGGAGGGAGAGCCATATTATGGAATTAGTTGGGTCACAGGACCAAGCAGTATTATTGTCTGTACTCTTGTTTACTGTAAATACAATAAGTATTAGTTGTTATAAGCTGGTGTTACTTTGAACCCAAATTACACGAATTAAGGAATAGTTTCCTTGGATGTACAGTAATATGCTCCCAGTGTAATTGTATGAAAATGCCATCTTCAATTGTCAGCTGTTAACCACAGCTGTTATTTCAGAGCGTGAGTCTGATTAATGGGCCGAGTGAAGCACTGCTGAAAGAGGAGGATTGCTCAGTAGTGACCGTGACACTAGTATGGACCGATAGACCCACTGAAGTTTCCCCCATTCTTATGTTCTAAGAGAGAGAAAGAGAGGGAGTGGGAGAGGTATGGGGAGAAGTGGAGGAGAGTGGGGATAATTTTGTTCTTTTCTTTTCTTTTGAAGGATTTGTAGGAATATTACCTACGCGGACCTTAAGCTAAAGTACAGGGGGTCGGGGTGGGAGTGCCCTGAAACTCATTGCCAGAGGCTGACAGAATTTCCAATTCATTATACAACACTACCAGGCCACAGAGATTTATTTGCTTTTGATATTATTTATGGAATCTCTAGTGCAGATTTTTTGTAAACTTATGAAAAAATATATACAATTCATATTTAATGGTTATCAAACTATTTTTACAATGGACTGCAGATTCTGTCAGCCTCTGGCAACTGTTCAATGCCCACCGAACAGATCCGAGTATTAACAGTATTAATGTTGTCTTTTCTCTTGATGAGGTTAATCCATCTTTAGGAAATATATGGAAGTGTATATTCCCCTCTCGTTTGAACAAAGAATTACACCCAAACACTACACAATTAGTGGCGATTATGTGATAGACGCTGTCTGTAATTACCGCGCAGCGCACCACCACCGTCTTTGTCCCTTGTTTAAGAGCACACAATGTTTGGTAACGATACGCGTTTCTGCCTTTTCATGAGAACATAGCGCCTTATGCTTGTCCTATGAGCAGCGACAGTGCCGCCAGTTATCACGTACAGTACTTTGCCTTCCCGTCGTATCTTCACCTGGTAAGCTTCTCCCAAAACGATGAAAAGTTCCTCATTATTTATTGGTTCCTCAGAAACTCTGGCCAATGCCTTGGCAACCTCTCTTTGCTGGAAGGTATCAGCTTGGGTCCGAGACTGAGGGTTGTTTTGCCAGTCAGTAAAAGCAGCACGTTTATCATCGATGAGTAATTTGATTGCCGGTTTATTTTCATCAAACCAGTCCTGGTGTATTCTTTTGATCTGGCCGAGGAGTCTCTCTGCAGGTGTTTGTCATAACTGTGTTGAGAGTATCCCATTCGGCATTGGGATTCGCGTTGTTTGCTGTTGGGTTGTCTATAAGCCCATGTTCGAACTGCTCTCTGAAAGCATGTGCTACTGCTGGATCCTCCAGACACTTAGTATTAAAACTTCTTCTGGAGGCTTGCTGCCTTTGCCTTTTTGAGGCGACGTGAAGTGAGAGCTTGGCTCTGACAAGTCGATGATCAGTGTCACAGTGATCTGAGCCACGCATGACACAGGTGATGAGGACATCTCGGCGATCTCTTTCTCTGACAATGATGTAGTCAATGAGACGCTAGTGTTTGGATCGTGGGTGTTGCCACGAACCCTTAAACTTGTCGGCCTGCTGAAACAAATTATTGGTGATAGTGAAGTTGTGCGCAGCACACTTGCTGAGGAGGAGTAGGCTGTTCGGGATTACACTTTCTAAGTCCATTTCTCCCTATGGTTCCCTGCCAAGTGTTAGTATCTCTGCCAACTCTGGCATTGAAGTCGCCAACCAGCACAACCTTGTCTTCTCTGGGGATAGAGGTTAGCACTCTGTCGAGGTCGACGTAAAAGGCCTCCTTAATGTCTTCCTCTGCATCCAGTGTTGGGGCGTATGTACTGATGAAAAAGGCATGGCGTGAGTGGTTTAGTGGTATCCGATGCGTCATGAGGCGCTCGTTGATCCCAATAGGCATTTCAGTTAGAGTGTGTAGGATGCATTGGCGGATGGCAAAGCAAACTCCATAAATGAGGTTTCTCTCCGCAGCAGGCTTACCCTTCCAGAAGAACGTATAGCCAGACCCCTGTTCTGTGAGTTGGCCCTCATCTGGGAACCGGGACTCACTAATGGCTGCTATGTAGATGTTAAACCTAGCCAACTCTTTTGCCACAAGGGCAGTTCTTTCAGGATGCTCATTTGTGCCAATATCCAGAAAGGTCCTGCCATTCCATGCAGCGACCATAAGAAGTTGTATGGTTTGTTTTTATTTGGATCTGTGATTTTGATTGTGTTTTCGACCGCATAAGGATAACATTACTGGGTGCGGTTGCCCAGCCACTTTGGGTTTTTAGGCAGGCTATGTTTAGGGCATCTTTTCTAGCCCCATCCCCGTGTGGGGTGAGCAGAGTGGTTCCTCGAAAGGTCTGCTCAGTCACACAGACAGGACCGGATTGTACTGCTGGCTAGATCCAGTGCATAAACGACCATTTTCTCTTTGCCGCCTATGTGCAGAGTTGTGACTAGAGACTCCCGGCAGTTATCTATGCTTGTCCCCGTCGCCACTCGTCCGTCGCCATAGGACTTTTGTGGGTATAGGTGTTTTGATGATGATGAGAGGTATGTGGCGCTGGATGATAGCTGCACGTGAGTTGATTTATGTGGTGAGGCAGGAGCACAGGCTGCAACCACACATCTTAGCTCTCCCTTTTCCTTATCCAGTGGTGCAAGTGTTGCAACGACTGGGCAGAGGGAGAGTTGCAATGGACTGCCGATAGCCCAGTTTGTTTGGTTTCGCCTTAGTAGCCTGTCCATCAGGCATTGCCTTTGTCCGACGGTGTAGTCGTTGGGTTTCCGTGGTGGTCACCTCTTCCACCTATACCGCCGTTGGGGTCTTGTTGAAGCTCTGTAATCATGTCTGCCTGATGCGGGGCTCCACCGCAGATATTTCGTTCAGGGTTTACTCCCGTAGCCTTATACCTACCTAGGTTAACCTGCAAGGCAGCGGGGTAATGGCTGGTAGGCGCCAAAACGTGTCCACATGCCAGTGGGCCTATGCGCCGTCCCTCTGGGGCCCACTGCTATTCCGAGATCCCCTGCTGATCTTGCCTGGGCCCAGAAGTCACCCAGTTACCGTGTGTTGCCACGAGGATACACAGCAGGAGTCTTGATGGTGAGGAGGCTGTGTACTGGCAGGGGAAGACTTATTGAAGTTGCTTCCCTGTTCACCACGAGGGCTAGCCAGCGGCGGCAGCATTTCACCACCCATTGTGTGACACACCACCACGACCACACACAACTACCACCACCACCAAGATGACCTGTATATAGTGTAGTTACTGACCTGAATTTTTATTACTTGACCTGTAATTAATCCCCTTCTTACTCACTTGTCTGATAACTACTTTACTAATGAGTTGGTTGTAACACCTTGATGACGTAGACAACAACAAAGGCTTTAGAGAAGAGGTTAGGTTAGGTTAGCGAGAGAGAGAGAGAGGAAGAAGAAGAGATGAAGACGAGGGTATATCCAATGATTTCATCCTCCAATTTAATGTACTCTTTGCTGAATCACCCTGTATATAGACTGTGATGTAAGGGAAGTTTCAGATGTTTTTTCTCTGTGATCTTCTCAGACTGTTCCCCTCTGACGTTGCTGTCGTATCTAAGTATCTTGTCGTGAGGAGTACTAAGTGTTCAAGAAGTACAATATTAGAGGTGAGTTCCATGAAGGAATTAATTTACAGTTAAAATAATATCCGAGGAAAATATTAGAGAAAACATGTTGTTTTGTGTCCAGTTTATGGAATTTTATTTATATCGTGAAGGATTCAGTGGCCAAGAGGTAACAGTGCTCACCTCCTGTTCTAAGAGTCGCGGGTTAGATCCTGGGATTCTTCTTGTTCATCCAACTGTAAATAGAAACCCGACTCGAAGAGTTGGGGAAGGGAAAGTGGTTGAGTGCACAGTGATATCGATAATAATAAATGAACGTATCTGTCTGTCTGTGAGTGTGTCTGTCTGTTCAAACCATAGCTCCAAAACGGAAGCAGTTAGAGACCTGAAACTTTACATACATATTACATGGGTCCTAAGGATGTGCACCTTGGTATTGCTATTAGCAAGAACTAGAAATCTTCCCCTACTGAGATGTCGCCACGACGATTGCGGGAGGTGGTTACCCGTGTCTGGGAATGCAAACTGTGACAGTCAAGGAAGCCGGGCAATTTTACGAGTTGAATAATAAATATTTAAGGTTGTAAGACCCCTTCAAGGATACTGCACGTTGTAATGCTCTTTATTGTCTTCTGAATCCAATGCTTTTATTCAGCAAAATTCAAGATACGAGTATTGGTATTACAACCCTGAATTTTCCAATCAGTTGCTCATGACCTCTGATCATGTATAGTCTTTTCTCATTACTTATTGTTACTCGTGCATGTGATCTTCATATTCTAGTTTCCATTCATTCCAGCAAGTCAGATGATATAATAAGGGATGGTGATAATTATGTTAAACTCACAATTGGAAGATTTTATCACGTATATTTATTTGTATTGTACAACAGATTTCATACAGTACATAATTCGATTATAGATAAACCAGTTTTGTTATGCTTTGAAGACAAACACACACACACACACACACACACACACACACACACACACACACTGTTAAATACAGTATTCGGAAGAGATGCGTTTCAGATATTCGATAGTGGTGTAAGTTGTACAGTCATACATATCATTAAACTAAATATATGCACATTTATATAGTTAGAACTTAAGGAAGCATTTCTCTTAGTAAACAACAGAGAATAACTGATAAGATCGTAAAAAAAAAAAGTTGGGTCTAGAAGCGTTCCAGGTTAGTCTCAGGAGATGGAATATTTTTACCATCTTACATTTTGCTAAAAATTTGCAGTATCCATGAGAACATTTAAGAAAGCTACAGACAATGCTAAATGTTCCTGTTTTCCTGTAGACGTATTGTAGAGATATTTATTTGTTCTTAAGAGTGTAAATAACACAAATGGAGAGAGAGAGAGAGAGATAAAGAGAGAGAGAATGAAGAGTTTACTGTTGACTGCGTGGGTGGTTAATAAAATGAGTTCCACCATTTGGCATCCTAACAATAGAGGCGCTGAGGTTGTTGGTCTTGCTGGTTTTCGTCAGCCGGGTGGTCGCTGCTGCCGTAGGTTCAGATCCTCCTTTGGAGACCCCAAGGCCACTACTGCCAGCGCTCCCCGAGAAGTCTTCTCCGATGCCGTAAAAATCAGTGGTCCGGAGTTTTTCTATGAAGGCTAAGATAGACGGCATGATGGCCTCTGCCCTGGCCAGTCTATCAAGGTCTTCCTGCTGGACACTCTTGCCTTCAGCCTTGGCCATGGCCTCCATCACCTTGCGAGAAATGGGGAGAAAGGCCAGGATAACTCTCTCTACGAAGCCAGAATCGAAGTTGTTGCTGCGAGCTGGGTCACTCGTTATCTGCTCGAAGACTTGTGCGATCTCTGGGAGGATGTCGATGGTGGCGGCGACCATGTTGTCGTAGGGGCCGAGGTCTCTGGTACTGGGCTGCAGCACCCCCAAAGCCTCGTAGGTCTGGGGCATCGCTGAGGCTGTGTAGACACACATCACAACACCGAGGAGGATCTGAGAGAGGGAGAGAATGGGGATTATATTTCCGAAGTACTTCCAGCATTGCTATTAGTTCTTTACGTTAGTCAAATATTTTCAGATGAATTTTAATAATTTGCAATCAGCTGAAATAACACGTGTATTTACTGATGACAACTTGTATATTAAACACGTACAATGGTTAAGAAAAACGAATAATACTCAAAATTATCAAAACAATATTCAGAATTATATCTCTTAGATAAAGTAGTTCGTTATTTTACACAAAGTAATGAAAATACCTACATCACACACACACACATACACACATACAAAGAATAAACGAACATAGTACACTACAGCAACTTGTTAATTGGACATGCGAGGCTGCTCCTGTTTACACACTACCTACATTTAAAGCTTCCCAAGATCCTCCTCAGATCATGTGACGAAACTTTATGTCTATAATTTAAAATATCGTGCGTGAAAGATTTGTGAATGTATATTTTTTTTTATAAAGAGCTTTAATATTTATGCTTGTTCTTGTCTATCCAGGTGTATTATCTAAATTAAATTAGTAACTGAACCAAGTGTAACTAAAGCTAGGGGGAGAGAGAGAGAATTACAACCTATGCTCGCAACAGAAAGGCCGAGGGCAGACTTATAGTATATTAATAATAGAGGCGTTACTAACCTGGAGCTTCATGGTCGCGGTGGAGGTACCCGGGGAATGTAGTCCTTGTCAGCTCTCCCGCCTTATATACCAGGCTACCACTACCTCAAGGTTCCCCATACCCATACCAAGGGTTTCCTATGCCACTTGATTGGATTGCTATTTGTTGTTTTAACCTTATGTATACACTTTCAAGACTCACTGGTGATGTTATAATGTTATCACTTAGCTACAACAGCATATATTTGTAAGTGCGTAATAATATGAGTAATTACACTAGTCCATCACGATTAAACATTATGAGAGGCATATCTGTAATGCATATGGTTCAATATTTTAGCATCAGTATTCCCACAATGTGATATGAAGCGTACAATAGCATTATGTTAAAATAAGACTATGAATATTCTTAGAAACAAATACAGAATTTATATATAATAATAGGCGAGTTACCAAGCTTCTTCCGGGCTATAACAAAAAATAGGGTAGAAGTGGAGTGACTATCCACTAAGTCACTCGCACATCCCTAGCACGCTAACGCCCATATTATTAAACATCTTCATCCTTACATCTCTACTTAAGTCATTCTCTCCATCTACGTCCTTCTACACCATGCTCTGTCAGTCATTCTATTGACAAAGATTCTGTCTTATTAAACGTGATATTTAACTCTTTCACAAAACGTATTAAAGGTATCTGTTTATTTATATATTAATTTTCTTTAGGCGTATTTTGTTGTTATGTCAGCTGCTCCTAGAGATAAAGAAACACACACACACACACACACACACACAAGATGGGACCACTGTGCTTCCTCATCCTGATCAACGACGCTCTATCGGACACTCCTCACAGGTGGAAGTACGTGGATGACTGCACTGTGGGGGTTTCAGTGGACAACACCGCACCAGACTACTCATCGCTACAAGGCACCCTGGACAGGCTACAGGCATGGACTACGGAGAACAAGGTCACCATCAACCACACCAAAACCGTAGTCATGCACATCAATACCGCCACCACTCCAGTGCAAGCCCCAGCAGTCACAGTGGGTGCCCATCCTCTCCAGCTGGTGCAGTCTGCCAAACTCCTGGGTGTTACTATAGATAACAAACTTGACTGGAAGGCCCATGTAAATAACACAGTCAAGGCAGCCTCATATCGTCTCTACATGCTACGACGACTTAGGTCACTTGGGACACCCACGCCAGAGCTGAGGACCATCTACAACGCTTTTATTCTCCCCAAACTAACGTATGCGTCACCAGCCTGGTCGTCTTCCCTCAACTCCACCCAACAACGTCAGCTAGAGAAGGTACAGAAAAGGGCCTGCAGAATCATGCTCGGCGCTGACTACTCCGGCTACACCAACGCGCTCTCCACCACTGGAAGGTTTGGCAGCCAACTATTGCACCACCCTCGTCATCGCCACCTCCTGCCACCGGCACCCCCCCATCCACCTCGCGCAGTCCGCCACTACAACAAAATTCAGCCCATAAGAGCCCGCACCGATAGATATAAGAATAGCACCATCCCATCTATTGTTAAAATAATAAACAACTCCTGATTAATGTACTGTACAGCCATGTAAATGTATTGAACGCAAATCATTATGTTTAAATCACATGTAAGTTTGTATATTATCAGCCACCGGCTGCAACTCTATTAATAAACCGTTTATTATTATTATTATTATTACACACACACACACACACACACACACACACACACACATCCCCCAACTAACATAAAGTAAACGAGACAAAACCCACAACCACCACATTAAGAGTCTCGTGTGAGTCTCGTGTAGTACTAATTCACAATACATGTCTGGTTCATCACCTCCCACGGCCCCCCATCGTAAATTCGCGTATATGGTCGGTAACTATTCTCTCTATAGCAATAGTTTCGTTTTTAGAATCCGTGTTCTACTTCATATAATACTCTGGTATATTCCTGCACCTTTCCATAGTAGTAAAACTGTTAGGAAATCTATTGATCCTGTTAATAATGTGAGGCGGGCGTCTGAGGCGGGCGTCTGAGGCAGGCCTGCGGACACGCTCATGGGTCGGGCACCTGCTGTTGCTGAACCAACTTTTTTTTTTCACTCACTACTACAGTCTTCTATGAATCACATGAGAGGTATAAAATTATCTTTTGATAGTCTCATAATAAGTAAATAATAAAATAATCTTTATGGATACTAAGAGTAATAGTTGGCCTGTATTGATGTGTTGGCAACATTACCTGTTTATAAGTGGCGTCTTACCTTACACTTTGTGTAATTGTTTCATTTGTCTGTTTACTTAGCTTTGTAACCGAGTCGAAACAAATATAACCATTATCTGTCTCTAAATATAAACTACCTCAGAAGAAATATTATAAAGCAGAAATGAAGATAAGAGAGAAAAGTTTCACCACAAACTCTTATACATTATGTAATAAGAGACTTTGGTTCCTCACCTTGACCACAGCCAACGAACTGGAAGAACCCAATGTTCTTCCCGCTCTTATGCCAGAAGGGCTCCATCCGGGATTTCCCGGAATACTATTCAAACAGGCTTCAGCGTCCTGACCAATCATATTCCAGGTGCCTTTGATCACATAACATTTTATAAAGGTCACTCTAGCACTCCCCTCACTCTCTTTGACGATGTTCTCTCTCCCACCTAACTCCCATGTTCTCCCAAACTACCTTCAAGCTTCCATCTGACCCAGTGCTTGTCTTTTCAACATAGCCTCTGTGTTTCACTTGGACAAATTTGAATTTCCGTATTAGAGTACAGTATACTGAAAGTTCTAACTGACCATTGCAAATTTCCCAGATTCTACTTTGGTCTATTATGGTAAAAACAATACCTCGGGTAGCATTTTGGCTCATTTTAATCCTCGTAGATTAGAGTCCAGCTGATATTCTGAGTCATCTCGAATACACTCGATTCTTTAATTGATTCTGGGTTCTCCAGACACAGGCCGCCCCCCTGTGACTCTCCTGCTCTCACATGTGGCTCGCCCTGATAGCAACAAATTGTTCTATTTCCTGTTTGTGTTTGTCCTCATTACATCCAGGACCTGATGTTGGTCAGTGACCTGTGCCAGGGTGGGCTACTCCCCGTAAAAAAGAAAAAAAAAGAAAAAAGAAGCGTAGCCGTAGTGTGTGTGACTGATATCTGGTATATTTTATAGGTCTCATACCGTGTCCCATACCATGTTAGAATTAAACTTATATATTATTAAAACCATCTAATGAGGACACGCCCTCTCATTCACTATTCTTGTAGGATTCCCTTGCACTCTCTTCCTTGTTAATTAGTGTGAAGCCTTGGGTGAGGTGACAGGGAACCAGAAGAGATAAAGAGACGCAGACGTACAGCGTTGATAATAATACACCTGGGCTGTGTGGCGCTTCTGATAGCATGTGTAACACACCCCTACAATCTGGTTCTCTAGTAACACCTCCCTCTCACCATATCTTGGCTCAAAGTCCTTGACACCGACACTGAAAAGTCCATCTCGTAGCCACACTTACCTTTCCACTGTCGTAATGAAGTAACACGTGGAACTCTTTCTCTCACACATACAATCTCCTAATGATACTGCGGTATTGCAGGCCTGACGAACTAATATTTGTGAGAAGACAGGCTTTATGATATTTTTCGGACAAGTTTAGATAAATCAGGTTTTAAATACTAGTATACTGTATATCTCTAATGAGAGGTGAATATAAAAGTCGTGTGTATGTATATGAGAGAGTGAGTGAGGGAAACTGACGAATCTTATCTTTTATTACGTTCGTGAAGCATCCTACAGCGCCCCGGAGACCATGCTACTCTCCAGCCAACAGTGCTCCACCCATAAAAAAGATCGTCACTGCAGACAGAAGTTATACGAAAGTTTTTTATCGTAGTTTACACAAGAGGGTAACATGACTTTCTATGGTTTATGGAATGGGAACGCCAGAGGACAGACTAATAGCTTAACTGGCTTAGCATGGGTGTAGGTGGGGCTGTCTAACTCTCATTATGGAAGGCTCGATGGGCAACGTTGTGGTGTTGGGTTTCTTAAAACGAAAACCATATTATTGTAATTTGTGTTGTTGGTGTTGTATTTGACATTAAATGAGTATTAATATTAATTTGATTACAGCTTAACTAATTGTGTGTTGTCAGAGGTCTTGGTCCGGTGTGTCATATTGCAATACCCCGTAAAGGTTCACAATAATCTTTTAGTAGATGTATATCCTTCTAGACTTATAATTTGTATCCGGTTTCTTGGATCTCGTTAACACATAATGCGAATATCAGCTACTTTTGATTTGGAAAGTTCTATATTTAATTCACCGATCGCTGTTGTAAATAGTTCACTTAATAATTATGAAATTCAATCTATGAAATTACAGTATGTGTAAATCTTGTTTTTCTTCCAATTCATTTTTTAAATTTGTTTTTCAACGATTATTTTGTTCTGTACATTGTCTCTGCCATACCGAGAACCAAGCGAGATAATCAACAGTTTCTTAGAAGTAAAGTGCATCAATAAAAGCCGGAACCAGATTAACTTTTTTCTTTTTAAGTGCAGGTGATAAAAATATTATCACTTGTGAAATTATTAAGGTTCCACAGCTTACAGTACATTTACCCTCAGGTAATTACAGCATTTACATATCACCATCTTAACAAGACAAGTTATGTTTAGAGAAGAGCTAAAAAGGCTGAAAATTTACAATTACATAATTGGTACAAATATGATATATAATAAAAGGAGTGGGGAGTGGGGGGGGGGGTTATTCAACAGGAAATTTCAGCATAGTAACAATACAAAAGTAAGGTTGGTTGGGAGTGAACACACTGGTTAACTACAAGATGCTGATAATTTTTACAGTGGTTGGGACTGGGCTGTTCTTACAGCGATCAGTACGTGGTCGTATGGGCTGGATGCTGTTGTAGTGTCGAACAGCAATTCGGACGAGGGATCTCGGGTGGAAGCAGGAGACGGAGTCGATGATGGTGCAGAAGCTTCTCCCCAGACTTGCAGATGAGGTCGTGGTGACGATCAGAGAGAGCCGAGAGGGTCAGTGTGTTGAGCGCTTCTTGATATGTGAAGTAGGAGGGGGAGAGAATAATCTTGCCCGCCCTCCTCTGAACCTTTTCTAGGTGTTTCCGTTGTGTGGCGTTTAGGGAGGAAGACACAAGCAGGGGAGGCATAGGTGAGCTTGGAAAGTGTGACTGTTGAGTAAACACTGAGGAGCTCAAGCG